TACTAGATTATACTTGTGTTTTTCTTTCGTATGGGCGTGCAGTTGTTTATATAATGCTAACTCATGTTAGCATTGAGTACATTGGATTTTTTTTTCTCATTCTTGTGAAACTTTACTAAGAATTACATGTTTCAATTCTATCCAGGTAAAGACAAAAGATAAAGAGTCTCCATCTTTTCTTATGGCTGAATAGTACTTCATGGTAATCATTATACCACATTTTGTTAATTCATTCATGGGTTGAGAGGCACTTGGGTTGCTGCCATTTCTTGGCAATTGTGAATTGAGCTACAGTAAACATTCCGGTGCCAATGTCCTTGTGGCAAAATAATTTTTTTTTTTCTGGGCAGAAACCTAGTAATGGGATTGTGGGATCAAATACAAGGTCAACTTTAAGTTCTTTGAAAATTCTCCATACTTCCTTCCATAAAGGTGGTATTAGTTTGCAGTCCCACCAGCAATGTAGAAGTGTTCCCTTCTCTCCACATACACGCCAGCATCTGCATATTCAGGACATTTTGATGAGGGCCATTCTTACTAGAATTAAGTGGTATCTCAGAGTGGTCTTAATATGCATTTCTCTGATGATTAGGGATTTAAATATATTTCTTTACCTTTTTTTCCTGCCATATCACTTAACTACATGAAAACTAGAAGTTATTTATTTTTTATTTATTTATTTTTTGAGATATACTCTTATTCTGTGACTCATGATAGAGTGCTATGGCATCACAGCTCACAATAACCTCAGACTCTTGGGCTCAAGCAATTCTCTTGTCTCAGCCTCCCAAGTAGCTGGGGCTATAGGCACCTACCACACCTGGCTTATTTTTAGACATGGGGTCTCACTCTTGCTCAGACTGTTTTCTTCCTCCTAAGATCAGGTGATCCTCCCACTTTGGCCTCTCAGAGTACTGGGATTATAGGCATGAGCCACTGTGCCCAACTCTACAATTTATTTTTAAATAACTTTTCTTTCCAAATAATATGAAATCACTTATTAGCAAATGTTTTAATTATTATTGAATTACTTGAAAATAATTAGAAGTTCTTGGAAAAAGAACATGGCAAAAAGTAATTGAACATATTACATTCCTTGTTAAGTTTCCATAAAGCCATAATTACTAAAATTTTTAAAACACTGGCTATAAACATAACCATTTAAGACTGTCTTCTTAAATTAATTCTTGATTAATATATATAATATATTAACATATTTACCTGGTTTTAATAAGATACTTAGAAACTTAATCAATATCTTTCTTTTTTATTTTTTTTTGAGACAGAGTCTTACTACGTCGCCCTTGGTAGAGGGCTGTGGCATCATAGCTCACAGCAACCTCCAACTCCTGGGCTGGGACTATAGGCACTCGCCACAACACCCAGCTATTTTTTGTTGCACTTGTCATTGTTGTTTAGCTGGCAGGTTAGGTTCCAACCCACCAGCAACAGTGTATGTGGCTGGCACCCAGGCACTGAGCCTCAATATGCTTTTGTCAAAATTACCTTATGTTAATATTTATTACCTAATGAGTAAATAGATGGATTTAAAAATTCCTACACTTGCAAAGATGATCAAAGTCTATGAGGCAATGTTTGCCAACTAGGAATACCTTGGGCAACAGGTAAGTGGAATATGATATTTTGTAAGTGTTTTTCTTCTGGAGTTATTTTTACATTTAGATCAGAGGAAATCTCTTCAAGGACAATTGGAGAAAGCCACGATGCCTCATCTTTCCACCTTAACCCAGTGTCCTGTGTGTCTTGCATGGTGACTTTCAGGTCTGCTTTCTCCCATAGGTGGCTGTTTGTACAATGGCAGAGCACGGACAGTTTTATGCCTAGAACTCCAGTAATATGTATTTCATTGTGTTCATTGTTTACACCATGGAATCATTCGAAACATCTTTTTTGTTTCAGATTCACATAAAGGTGCACATGCTTGGCTTACATGGTTTGAGTTTGTTAGGTAGAAAAGTTCAGTTGTAGTTGAGCCCTAACGAAGAGTCCACAAAGAGCATTTGCTGTAATCTATGTTTAATTTTCCTACTTCCCAACATTAGGTTGCACCAAATTTCTGTCACACTCACATGACAGTGAAATCATTCTTTCAGATCTGAAATATTTCTTTATGAAGGATTCCCAAGAATGGTTATTTCTGAGGCAAACAGAATAGTCACTTCAATGACTCCTGATTCCTATGTTAAATTTCTTTAAAATGTTTGTGACAATAAAACCAGTAATGTGCTTTATCCAATCCCCAATAGTAGCTGAGTTTTGACATTGGAAAATTCCTTCTATTTTGTTTGTAAAATCCAGTATCACTATGATTTACGTAGTTCCTTTCCAAAAAATACAGCTACAGTGAATTACCTGGCTTTCAACATGTGATTATATAATATTTACAACATTACTAGTACTATATTTTCAATGTGAATAGACATGTATTAAAAGGAATAATCTTTTATAAACTGAGACTTTATAAAATCATCATACATAGGCTATTATGGCATCTATTTTTTTTTTTTTTTTTTGGCTGGGGGGGGTTTTGCCCCCGCCACTTCCAGCATATGAGGCCTGCACCTTACTCCTTTCAGCCACAGGCACCGCCCCTATTATGGCATCTGAATCCTTACTTGCTGCTATCTCCTAGTGATGCTACAATAAATTACAAATGCAAATTTTTTACCTTCTCTTTTCCTGAGCAAACATCTTTCCCACTAACAGAAACTCCCAAGAAATTTAATGTGAAATAGGTTCAAACACTCTCCCCAAACCACAATATTTTAAATATGAATCTGAGAAACTGCCAAGACTCTTCAAAATATTCGAAAGGGAACACAGAGTTTATACTTAATGATAATAGTCTTTGACTGTACAGAACAACAATAAAGAAGTGAAAGGTGTGTCTGCAGCTGTTTCTTGGGTCATGAGGATGTTAGAGGCAACATGTTGCTGATGTCATCTGCAAAGTTCATGATTAGCTCTACAGCTGAGAAGATGCTCTATGTACCAAGACAACGAAGGCTCAGGTGGTCTGTGTCACTGAGCATCTCACTTAGCTCCTTCGCTACCTCGTCTGTGGGATAAATATATATGAATAAACATGGCAACACAATACGAAGTCTGGGATTTAATTTGCCCTTGGACTCCCTTGCTCAGCTTAGCTAACTGCCTGTACTCCATCAAACAATCGAGGCTAGACGTTTTCAAGATTAAATATTGCCATGTAAATAATTTCTACATTTTTTAAATGCTCGGATAAATACTAAAAACAGATGATTTCTTGAGATGATTATATTAGTAAACACAATTTACAGCATAGTAGTTGACATGAGCCCAAGGAAAACCAAGGCACTCAATTGATTTCACAACTGCACAGAGATTGAAAAAAAAGAAAATACAGACTCTACAGGGACACGCACACGTGCCAAAGAATGGCGTCTTCCGCATGGGCTTTCTTCTCTGTTAGTTTATATTTCATCCTATATTGTTAACAGTATTATTTTATTAAGATTTGGAAACTTTTGCCTGATCAGTGATACCAGAAAGTGAACTTAAAATTTTCAGAGTAGCTAAATTTAATTACACTTCCTAGTCTATATTTGGGGCATGTGTTCTTTTTTTTTTTTAATAAAAACTTTAAAAATGAAACATACAACTAAGGTAACATGAAAAGGGCCTCAAATACCTTGAATATTATGACAGAATTAATTTATTTCATAATTTTAATTTTTAAAACAAATATTTAGGTGACTTTAAGATAAGTAAACTTGTCTCTGTTTAACTATTGAATCACTTAAACTTTGAAGCCTAAAAAAGTTTCCTTTTCACTAAAATAGGAAAGTGAAATTGTACTTTGAATAACGTAAATCTTAAATGCATGCCCGAGAAAAATTTTTAAAAGGTAATTAACTCTGGGAGAAAGAAAAAGAACAAGAGCAAGGGAGCTGAAATCCATTGTATTTTGGAAGCACTTTTTGTATGACTTGGAACTCAATGGAGTTTGCGAACCATTAACTTCAATTACACTGAAAACCCCAGACAAACCAGGGACATTGTAAATCTCATTAATTTTAAACACATGGGGACCAGAATAAATGGACTTTGAATTAACTCAATCCAAATTACCTGATATTAAAACATAATTGGAATTCAGTGGCTTTAAATTGCTTGCCAGTTAAAAAGACAGAATATATTGCCATACTTTGGTTTATTACAATTTTATCTAGTTTTGAAGTTTCAGAATAATAGTCTAATAAAGCAAAGTTTTCAGATTGTGAAAATATGGAAATTTCATTGATGTTTTCATATATTTTCATAAAATCTTGGGAGTTTTTTTTTTATCAAATTTCTACTTTTTAAGAGGGAAATTCACTTTGAGTTGGTTAAACTGTTAAATTCCAAACACAGAAATGCAGACCAGTAAATATACCTCATGATATATTAACTTTTGTAAAATTAAAATTTCCACATTTCTAAGTTTTATACTGCAATCATTTATATAGAGATGAGGCAAAGCATGACTTTAACACTGGCTTAATAACAATACAAATATAAAATAAAAAGACATGCTGCTAAATAACAAGAATAAAAACATGTCGCTCAAATAACACCACACTTTCCAAAAACAAAGAAAAGTTATTTTTAGAAATCTGCCATGTGTTTGAAGCCTGGTATTATTATTCCCATCCACTTGTAACAAGTAAAATCACTGTAGGAAATTTTATTAAACTTATTAAACTTATTTGTGTTATTTGTATCAGCCTTTATAATATTTGATGTAAAATCTATTTGTTTGGGGGCAACGTTTCATCAAGAGTCCCTGTTATTAACATGTAGTATTCTAATTTTTAAGTAAATATTATTAAACCCTAGGGCATGTATTCTCTGTACTTCCAAGTTACATTTTTAGGTATTTATAAAAATAGATAATATATAATTTAAGCCCATCCCCACTGAGAATCTGTAATACACACACACAAAACATGCGAATACCTGAGAAAAAATGTGCTTTGAAGCCCTTCTTGGACACAGTATTGTCAGATTTGAACTCAATTCTCATGTTGTTGAACTGCGACGTGATCACTTCTGGCACTTCGGTGCCACAGAACTTGCCATGCAGTTTGGACTCGGAGGAAAGACCACTCCAGATCTCCACATAATCATACTTGCACACCTAGGAAAAGCCCGGCTGTCAGACTTGCCAGATTTGAGAATCCTGGATGATAGACATTTGTTTTTGAAAAATGTATATTTATCTCTCTTTACTCACATGGAAGTAACTGGAATTAACATGTTAAAAAAAATCAAGAAAAAGGTTCAACTAGGAGGCAAAAGGCTTGAAGATAGATAATCAGAGGAGAATTTTGCTCTGGATAGGTCTGAGACATTTATATGCAAATGTATGCTTCATTTATATGTATTAAAGGCATACTTTTCAAAAAATACAAAAAGATGAGGAAAACTGTAATGAATGCTACAGAGAGAATAATGTTGATGGTCACAAGGAAAGCAATGGCTCCTGCCCTTTAGAAAAGCATTTTTATTTTTCAATAGGAATTATGGAAATACTTGTGGGTGCTGCCTTATTTAACACTGACAATCAGGAACTATGAAAATACTTGTCATGTACTATTTTTTTTTTTTTTGAGACAGAGTCTGACTGTCACCCTGGGTAGCCAGGGCGTCATAGCTCACAGCAACCTCAAACTTTTGGTCTCAAGTGACCCTCCTGCCTCAGCCTCCCAAGTAGCTGAGACTACACACACTCACCATAGCACCCAGCTAGTTTTTCTATTTTTAGTCGAGACAGGGTCATAATCTTGCTGGGGCTGGTCTTGAACTCCTGAACTCAAGGAGGTCTCCACCTCTCAGAGTGCTTAGATTACAGGCATGAGCCACTGTGCCCAGTTCTACTGTTTTATTTAATACTGACAACAATGACATGAAATTGGTCCATTTAGTCTATGAAAACATCACTAGCAATAGAAATAATCCCTTCCACTGTAGAGATTAAAAGAAATGAGATTCAGAAAATTTTATATAACTTGTCCAAAATTGCACATGGCAATGTGGTGATTAATGATGTGGCGTTCAGCTTAGTCTAAAAAGCTACATTCTAATCAGAACAGCACCCGTTACTAACAGTTCAAAGTGAAAGACGTGTACTTAGTATTAACAAAAAAGATCCTTTGCCTTTCTACCTTATTAAAAGGACTGCCATTCCTTGATTTCTCTGAGTTTCTAGGTACCGTGAACTTTGCATCCTTGCTGAAGAACTGCAAATACACGGAACTCTATCTAGGGGAATGGAGGCAGGAATCTATACTAGAATGAAGTAGACTCATTATGTGTGATATGCTAACAACAAGGAAATGGAAGAAGCTAAATGAATGCCAGGTATTCTTAAGCAATTTTATGACCACAAACAGATGTTTCCATAATACACTTTTACAAAGTTCCAGGAGGGCATGTTGGAAAGAACACATCTTGCATGAATGACCTTATTACATGGATGTGTGATTAGCAGGGTTTAGCAATGCATATGATTGAACCCTAGGGCACGATCTGTACTTTGAAATATGTCAACTCAAATTACTGGTTCTTGTGATATTAATTAGGTGATGAATAAGCAAAGTGCTTCTGGGAAAAATGAAATGACTTTCTATCTACTTTGTTACCACTGCCATTTATGCTTACAGAGGATTCCGTGCAGTATAAAGGAATGTTTCCAAAGCTAAAATTTTTTTGTTTTGACTTTCCTTTGGGATACCAATATAATAAATAAAGTAATAAAGTTTTCAACTGACCTAGTGATTCTGTAAGTCTTTTTTTTTTTTTTTGCTTGAGACTTTTACAGTCAAGATATAGAACTATGAAAATTCATAGAATTCTGCAAAAGCTTTTCACACAGTAGCACCATTATAAACCAGAGAATTCTGGGCTATGTTCACCAAGTTTGTAAAGAGCACTTCTAAGAATGATGACAACTGCTGTGAGGGTGGTGCTTTCAGAACACAACACCCCATTTATAGAAAACCATTTACCCTCCTCCTCCTCAATACAAACCTCCAGGCTTCTTAGAAACATCTACCAATTAATGAATCATGAGGACACACTCACAGCTTTAAGGAAAACGATGGGAGCAGGAGGTTATACAGCCCTGAGTTCATGTCAAACCACAGGACTGGTAGGGAAATTACCATTTTCAAAATATGTAGCTCATGTAACAGTTTTTCTGAAAATATTATAAAAATTACTATTTTCATATAAATATTTCCTGAAACATGAAGTAGTCATTAAAGGAAAATGATATTTCATGTGGATAAATTACTCTAAAAGAATAAATCGCTGTCTTTCCCATCATAAAACTTACACATGTTAACAACAAGAGAATTGGAAAGGCTCACTGAGCTCTAAGATTCTACACTTCTCTGACACTAAGTTCATCACATTTTAGACTTTAGTTTCCTTTAAGACAACACAAAAGTGAGCTACCTCTTTTTACCTCCAAATAACTAGTAAGCGATTAAAAAAAATAACAGAAGTGCCTTGGCTATTAAAGGCAGAATTAAGTGGGGGGGTGTAAGTAAAAGAAAGAAAAGTGAAGAGAAGAAGCAGCAAAGATAGATATATGAAAGTATGGTATAAAGCCCACAAATATTACCAAAAGTCAGTGCCCAAGGGGCACAGATGCATTTCACTTCTGTTCTCACACCTCTCTGTAAGTGTGCAACAGATATACATGACAGACAACATAAGTTTGGAGTTAATTTTATCATATGTAGAAGGGTTGAATCATGTTTATGCTAAAAGTACACACAGAAAAAAAGTTGGCGGTGAAAGGATGCAAAATAAGTCAGAAAAAGGAAAGAAAGCACAAAAGACTAAATAAAACAAATGTCTGTGACATTTTCTCCAGAATTAAACCAGAGTTGACAATCATGCCAAGGACATTCTTCTAAAAGTTCCCATTTCAGGTGTGGCATTGCATTTGAATTTGGTGTGCGTGCACTTAGCACACAGGGATGTTCAAATAAATGATCCCATTTGTTTAAATGTGGTTATCTGATAGAAACTGTACCTTTAGTGCTGTAAAGTAAACACATATAGTAAGCTCTACTCTGAAAAACAGCTTCGGCTAAATGCATCTTTTGCTGAGGTTAAAAAATTAAGAATTATTTATAAAACATGAGCATAATACAAACTACTTATCTAATGAAAATATACCCATCTCCACAAGTAAAATATACAAAGTTCTCCCAAATGGATATTTTTGATATGATTCAGCCAGTGGATTTTGGTTTATTTTTTCTAGAAAAGTCTATGTGTAATGAAGTTGACCCTAAACACTCCATGTTCTTTAATAAATCAAGAAAATGGTACATATTAAATACACTGAGTAACAACTCCCCCTGATGTAATTTTCAACCTCCCCCAAAGTCTAAAACATCATCCAACACCAACAAGAACCACAGCAGGGCGGAAAGGATCAGAAGGACAAAGGTGACTACACTACCTGCACAATTACCTCGCGTTCTTTTTTTACGTTTGCCAGTTCGTTAAGAGATTTCCAAAACATGATAAAAATTAGATTTATTGTTCATTTACCTCATTTCCTTCCAATTCAAAAAACTCAAATTTCACAGAAATTCTATACTGGGTTGGAGCGACCACTTGCCACACACAGTTTTTATTAGGTGGGTACTCCTTGGGCCAGCCTGGGGTGGTGATGGTGCCGTTCAGCTTGGTAAGAAGTCCACCACATGCAGCTAGAAGCCAAGAAAAGAAAAGGGTAAGTCCTTTTAATAAAGTCACTTCCTTCTTATCACCAAGCAAATTAGCCCGATTTATAACATAGGGGTTTCTGTAGCTTTGGAGGCAAATATATTATGGCTATGCTATACTTTAATCTACTTTAAGGTTGAGTAAGCAATAGAAAGAAAAGTAGGTCTCAGTTTTCTTATCTTTAAAATGAGTATAATTAGATCTTGCAGTTTATCAGCAACTAAAGAATTAGGAGGAAAAAATACATTTGGGGAGAATTCATAGTAGTGTTATGAGACTTAAGGAAAGGACCCATGTAGAGCACAGTATAGTCTGACACAGTAAAAACAAAATTAATTTTTTAGGGGCAGCGCCTGTGGCTCAGTGAGTAAGGCACTGGTCCCATACACCAAGGGGTGGGTTCAAACCTGGTCCCAGCCAAATTGCAACAAAATAATAGCTGGGCATTGTGGTGGGCACCTGTGGTCCCAGCTGCTCTGGAGGCTGGGGCAGGAAATTCGCCTAAGCCCAGGAGTTGGAGGTTGCTGTGAGCTGTGACACCAGAGCATTCTATTGAGGATGATAAAGTGAAACTCTGTCTCTTAAAGAAAAAAAAATAATTTTTTTATTTCCCCAAACTCCTTTTTTTCCCCAAGACAAATCACGCTGTATTACTGGCAAGCAAAATAAATTAAGGTAAACAGAATATATTTGTTATTCCAAAACTCTATACAACAACTAATTTTCTCTCCCTTTTGGTGATCTTCTTAAATTTCCTTTCTTCCTTACTGACAGTGAAATTAGTAAAATCATGGTATCCAAAAGCAAGTTGCATGAAAAGATGATACACTACTATACACAGCTCATAACTAACTCCTAGATGGTCAAAAGTTACCTAAAATAATTGGCCCCATTATTTGCTTTTGGGCACATATGTATAATATATATGTAAGTGTGTGTATGTGTACTATGTTTACAACTGCATAAAATATTAACTATACATTTCATTTTAACACTTTTTGGTCAATTATTATAAATTAAAATATTTATTTCTAGTTGCACATAGAAATAATAATCATGTTAGTTTTTACTGTCTGGCATACAATGTCCTCTATTAAAACTATGCCACATTTTCTGTATTACTGTGTCTTTTTGTATCCTA